CGGCTAAAATAGAAATGTTATTAAAAGATAGCATTTACGTCAGCAGTGCCAGTGCGCAAAAATGCAGGGCACCAATGGTTGGTCAGACAGGCTCACGTGTACCGGTAGCGTGGCAGTTTAAAGTAGGTAGGAAAATCACATAAGGGAACATGTTGTCATTAGATCTTGGCCACGGTGGTGTGCTCGGACACCTCAGTGACCTAGCCGCCCGCGAACCTGGGATGGGAGCTCCAATTGCGCCCAACTTGCAACAAATTGCCCATCGCAAGGCGATGGTCATCCAAACCGAGGAAATTCACAAACGGATTCAATAAGATGACGGTATAGCACCTAGCGAATTGCACTCATCTGCATATCAATTTGGTTACGAAGGGAGAATCACTTGGGACCCAGCTGAACCTCTCGTTTATTATGTTGACGAGTATTCAGCAACCTTATGAGTAATGTATTAAGTATAGCGCCTTTGGATACTGGGTCACGCCAAACTATTACAAGAAATGGGTGCTTACAGTTTCTGTGAATACGTAACTTCAAGGCGAGGATGAATTTTGGACAACGCTTGTGCTTACTACGTTGGTCGGGGGTATGCTTGTAAAAATGCCTTGTATTTGGCAAAAATGGAGGGGACGACAACTATTTGCCGAAAGATTATCATGCTGACATTAGACATCAGGCGAACAAGTGATGTCAACAAGGCAGCTGGCCGGTAGAGACCACCTATGGGGTCAAACAGTAAAAATAAACTAATTAAGCTAAGGCAGTTTGGGGATAGGAAACTCTGCGTTAGTCAGGCAAAGGTCATCTAACACGACTAGTTGCCTGGGTTATTTGAGGTGTGACCTAGTGCGCGCTACTTTCAGACGAAAGATGAACACTGGGTCAGCTCAGCTAGATAGATCGGATAAATATCTTCTGTGCACAGAGCTCGAGTGCGAAGAGTCGGATGTTGATTGAATTGGCAGTCGTGGGGTTGCGTAGTCTGACCGCTTTGGACTGGTTTAGTGGCACCTGGTATGCAGTCCGATTTGCAGTGTCTTGCTCTAGGAAGCATCCACCAGATGGACTGGACTGTGGATTTTACATGGACGAGTTACTTTGGACAATATTCTCTAATCCACGTAGACAAATACCATGACCTGACTAATTGGCACTACATGCACACAAATTCATAAACAACGATAGATGATATCAGCACCGTCAGTTTGTCTTTTTTTATTTTGCGGGTGTAGAAGAGGTGAAGTTGAGAATAGCCGTAGGCTATGCACATTGTAAGTGGATCTTATTGCTGTGGAGGGACTTCTGATGAGCATTCTGATTATCCAGTCGATCTTGGAAGGTAGCGTTTCGGTCATGTCCTGCACGTGGAGTGAGATAAGCCGATCAGCTAACTGTTTCCCTTAGTGTTTCCTCTGATCGATCGTTGCAATGATTAATTCTCTCTAATACGCTTCAGCTCACTGGTTAGTTGATCGTCCCGGGTCAATTCGACGTCAAATATTTCGCTACAGGTTGCATACCAACCCAGTTCATGGACCTTACAGGGCAAAGTAATGTTAGTCACAGGACCATGCTTTTGCTTGGTGCAGTGCTCTTATTCGCACTTGTGCATCTGCTGGAAGCCATTATCTACCTGTGCACATGAATCAAAACTACGAACATTGCATTGTGCATACCAGCAGATAAACTGAAGGAACTTCTTAATGTACGGTTTCATTTCAATGGTAAATACTATCGCCAAAGAGACGGAATAACCATGGGATCACTGCCAAGCCATTTACTTGCTGATATCTACATGGCTAAACTTGAGAGTGAAGTGCTGGTGGATGGTATGTCAGAATTCGTTCAGTACGACAGACATATTGCCGATATATTTTGTATTGTGGATGAAGACTGTGATTGAGATGGAGTCCGAAATCGATGCAATAACCTTATTTCAACTCTCGTCTGAAGACATCAGATTATACCTCTCACACAACCCAATCAGGTGGTGTTACATGAAATTTTTTCCTGATACACACGTAGGCTTTTCTACCCGCATGTCTGTCTTGGCGTAATTGGTTCACTTTTATTCATTATCATTGGAANGCCGTACGAATACGATTTATTTGAAAACCTTATTGTGGAGAAAAGAATAAAGCTGGACAGGGAAGGGATTTGGTGCTATAGTCACTCCGAGGTGCATACACCTCTAAGCACTCATTCAGGCAATCTGGATAGAAACTGACAACATGATCGCTACTCAAATCGATTATAAGCCTTTACTTTTATTATCTATGGATCTATACAGGCCAAAAGGTGTATTATTGAAAACGCCTGTTCGTCTAGCCCTACCTTCTGTTAGAAAACAGATTGCTCGTAAGTAGTTGATGAAAATTCGTTTCGTTGCTGCGCCATATGCCGGTGCCAACGGTTACCAAAAACCAGTGAGAATTAGGTAATTCCTAATCAGTATAATATTAAAATTGTAATGAAGACTGATTCAGTTCACTGAAGGGTGTGCCTCATGTCACTTGTCCTTCTGGTGGTCTATCCTCATGAAAGCAACAGGAAGATTCTCTTCTATGAAATGCGGAATCTGTTCGTATTGTTCCACCGAGGCGATGGAAATTCGCCAAGCTGAGTGATTGCACCGGTGTTTTCTGATGCTTTCCCGTTTTTAAAGTTTCCTTGTGTTCTCAGACTGTTTCTGATTCAGTTTCTGAACAACCGAACACGCGGACCGCGTGCCTTCTGTAATAGGTTGTCGAACAGCCTACAAAAATACCTTGGTGACCAATGCCATATTGGCCTCCGCAGTAGTTTTTTCTTTTATACACGGTCAAACTTTTGCGGTTTTGAGTACCGTTGCCACGCTTTGGGCTGTCACTCACCTGGAGTAACCCAATGTTTCATCTCCTCTTGGTCCAACCGTCCATCGCCGTTGGTGTCGTATCTTTTAAAGTTCTCCAACTCGATTTTGAACGCTTCCCTGTGCATTTTGTCTAAATTAGAGAATTTCGGTAGTAAAATCAAACTTAAAAAAAGCAAAGACCGATGTGGTATGTTCTTCTGGATATCTCTAATGTTGGTGAAAATGGTGAGGATAAAAAACTAAACGTACACATTACAGTCGGAATTCTAAAACGTAACTGAAGAAACCAAACAATTTCCTGATGGGTGGAATTCGCTTTAGGGAGGCTGTAACATGAAGTGATAAGTATGAGAGAACATTTCCACGACATCTAAACCCCCCACGATAGGGACAGGTTTCATCATGCTCGTCGTTGGCAAATCTGACTCTATGCGTATCACTGCTGTTAGTGGCTTGAATGGCAGGTAAAGTATTGAGCAAAGCTTCATCCTAAACACCTATGTTGAGCAACCAGCGTTACTTTGACGTAGTCTAGCAGCCAGTTGGCTCGGCTCATCGATTCCCAGACTAGTTCAGGTCGACGTTTCGCATCGATCAACCTCAGTAACCAGAATCAACAAGCAATAAGAGGACTCTCAGCCCTTGTCATTTCTGTGTTCAGTTTTTTTCAGTTCTTTCATGTTCTTGAAATTATTTTTGTGGGAAGCTCACCCCAAAAGCCACCTCGTATTCTCTTCAGCTGATCACTGACAAATGCTAACTTACCTGTGGTTACTACTTCGAGCTTACACTCTAATTTCGATCTTGCTTCGTGAACATGTTAAACGGCCGAATGTTTGATGGCATACTTTTCTGTTTTAGGTGACTGCCTTGATTACTGCCTTCTTGTTTGCTGTGTTGTAGATATCTGAAGATCACACAGAAGAAATACTTGTTGGATGTCCTGGTATCATAACGTATTCTACGGGTATAAAGAAACTATTCAAGCGGGTCGGTCACTTTAGATGTAAACCTGTTGGTTTTGGATGTAAGATTCACCTGAACATCTTTGCTCGTCAATGTTTGATTCATCCTCTTTAGTTCTTAGAAATGTGAGAAAGTTGGCGACACACTAGTGACTTGCAGCTATCTCCACATAAACTCGGATATCGGGCTCTGTTGGTCTCACTTGATATGGTTTGAAGATAAACTAGAATGAACATAGCTTGGGTTAATCTGAACGGAGATTTAGCGGCACACTTGATGAATATACACCTATTAGCTCGATGCAACTGTGGGAAGATATCCAAACAAAAGGGCTAACCTGTCAACTCGTAGGGTAAACAAGTAGCTCGGTCTTTGTATTTAGTGTGAACTGAATGCCCAGTTCACACCTGATATTTCATAGGAAGCACTCGGACAAGCAGATTCTAAATAAGAACTATAGCACAGCTTTTTTCACATGTGCATGGGTTCCGTGTGATCTCACTACCCTTGTGTTCATACGCAGTGTTGTCTTACGCACAAATGACGCGAAAGCGACTGGCGGATGTAACAGGCTGGAAATTGAGCAGCGCGAAAAGTCCAGGAAATGTTGTTCGTGGGTGTTGTGTTAGAACTATCTCTTTGAAAAGTCGACTCTTTTGGCTTCAGATGAGAGCTCTTTTCGATTCTATATGATCTACACTAGATGTTGAAAGTTTCACACAAACTGTAAGTATGCACACAACAGCTGATCTACGGAAGCATTACACATGTTACACGAGGTGTTAGCTGAATACCCTTTTCAGCTCATCTGTGGATCACTTGGTTTCCACAACTCGACTATTCACACTGTTTGGTGAGACCAGTACGAAACCTGAGCCTTTCTACTATCACCTGTTATATCGAACTTACCGTCGGCTAAGTACTCCTGCTGACTTATGAAGCCGTCATTGTCTGTGTCAAAGTCTCTCAGCGTGTGAATTATTTCATATGGCGCCATATGGGGATAGTTGTGGGGATGCTCGAACGCTGTGAACTCCGTCGCATTCAAGTGACCGTTCTGATCCAGATCTGCCGATTTAAACTTGATCTTCTCTTCTTCGATAGACTTAACAGAAGAAAGGTGGAGATAATCAAATTAGAAAACAAAACACACTCCAGAAAGCAGTGATGAGATATGGCAATCAAGCAAACATGAACGCTTAGGTGTGTGCGAATCTCATCAGTTGTAATTCGCCGCCTGTTTTTATTCATGTCTCTAAATGAGAATCCTCAGTCTGCCATCTATTCCTTTTATCTACTAGACTCCGTCTTGCTTGGTTATGTCAAAAGGTTTTAAATGAGTTGCAGGACTGCAACAACAACAATGCAGTCAAACTGACATCTGCATCTGTTGCACTCAAGTAGAGCTATTTTTCAATTGATACTATTACCTCACGTTGGTTGGAGACTTCAGCTAATACAAAGTTCCAGCGCACCGTTCTGAGAAGCGTAAGTAACACTGGCTTTAACAAAATACACTTAGTTTGTAAATATGGTTTTTTGGGTGACTCATCTTGAACAGCATAAACGAGAGATTAAGCTGGGTTCCAGGTGAGTGAAATCTGGGTTCAAATAGAAAATAGGATTGACGGTGACTCGGGGACTACGTCTACCTGATGAGCCCCCAAGAAGGGCGGAACCGGTCGTGGGNTGTCGAGGAGTTTTCAGCAACCTTATGAGTAGTGCGATACGTCTATAACACTTGTAATTGCTGGTTCACAACGGTGGTGTTTTCACGCAAAACGTAAATAAATCCTATCTGGTTTCGTCACGCACATGACCAGCGATCATTGGGACTGGTTTCCTGGGGTTCTTATTCATGGCAGTTTCGCGAAGCATTCGTTGAGGGGTTCACAGGTTGTTTGGAAATTTACGCGGCTTTTTCAATAAGTTTGAGTGTCAATTTCCTCCTAAAACTGCCCAGCTAATGCACACGACACTGATAATCTTTCGCTTTTCTGCATGTCAAGACATCAAGTTGAGTGAGGATGAACTTTGTTTTGGCTTCACTTAATTGAGCTCATCAGGTTATCAAAAGAGCTAATTGTTAGGATCGCAACTGGTATAACGGTTCTGAGGGGGATAGCTTCGTAAAAATTCCTCTGTTGTTTTTTCGAATCCCAAGTTCGCAAGGGAATGTTTGATGGTTCAGCATTCAGTAATTTTGTGTCTTTCGACTTAATTTGTTATTTTGCTCCTGTTTACTAAAAATAGAACTGATGCGAAAACACTAATACGCATTGTGTTAGGGAACACGGTAATCGGTACAGGCACATCTGATTTTAAACTTCCATACCGGTCTCTTTCTGGACGTGCTACTAATCTCTTAGCAAACTTAACCCCAGAAAATATTTTGGCATCGGTCACAAGCCTTTTTCGCATCAAATTCACCTTAGTTTAGCGTATTTCGGGAAGTAGAGCCCAGGTATACAAACTCATAAAATGGTCTTGTAAGTGCTGTGCTTATTTGAAAAGAGTTTAAATGAGAAGACGTAAGACAGCACTGTGCTATTATTCGGGGCCATCAAGATATCAGGAAAAACAGGGGATCACATAAGCATCCTGGGTTCCAGTGGGTAACAATTTATGCTTGCTTAAATATCCCCATGGTTTGAACAAGAACACTGCGATGAACGTTAATGTTTCCGCGTCAGTAGATGTCCAATGGTTAAAATAGGAGCGAAAAATAGAATGTGCAGCGAGGGTTGCAAAACATGGAGATATGAACGACTGGTTTTCTGCGCCCCCACGTCGCTTCTAGTTGGGTGCTGGGTCTAGAGAGCCGTTGTATGACTTGGCCGGTCGATTCGTGTCACACGACCAAGGCAGACTCAATGTTCGTGCAAAACGTTTTTGACAGCATAGTACCGGGTTTCGCTGTCTATTGAGTACGCGGTAAATGACATGAAATGACTTTTGGAATGGCTACGTGCCCAGTATGAATTAGGTGAGCTTTTGGCTGCACTGTTGAGTCTAATGGAGTTCCGGTAAGAGAGGTGCTCACATGTTCTCTTAGAAAGTTACCTTGTCGTGCGCTCAACATACTCCGTTGTACAACAGCAGGTGAAAGAATAGACTACCATATTCTGGATAAGGACTGGCATCTTGTCTCTGAGATTTAAGTTGAACAAAGGGTTTGTTGTATACCAAGACCACGGAGTTTCAGCCGGAAACCTGCCTTGCAAGGATTGAAACAAGCGGCGATTGACTGTGTCCACCAACAGATCGCCTTTATATGGTAAACTTTCAAACGGTCGTGACAGGCGGTTGGATAGGGCGATCGTTCCTATTCTTGGTTATAAACCTCTCCGGGTAACCATTGGTTCGGAGCACGTTAACAGTGTGCTGCAGTTCAGAGTCCAGTATATCCGTACAGCTCGGTTCGTTGAATTGTGAATCAGTGGCACAAAACTCATGAAGTTTGTGTACGGTCCCGTCCACATGGGCTTTCTGTAGACAGACTTATACGTGAACCGCATGTAAGCAGTGGGTAGAGTGAATAGGCTGTTCACTGTATGACAGGCCTCTAGCGGTAAAATTACGGCAAGAAACAGTGCGCTGACTAGCTACATGACTGAATCATCCGATGAGATTCCATCAGAATCGGGGACAATTTTCAAGGGTCCTGTTATGGGGTAGCACTGTCAAAAGTGCCTAGCAATATTACAGGGAAACAGCAAATCTAATTTGGAAGGTCATAAGCAGTTAAGAAATAGTTGGTGTGTTTCGGGGAAAAGGATGATACTGTTCCCTTTAGGACGTAAAAAATAATTATTCGAATATGAGATAAAAACAGGCTTACGTGGTTTGGATTAACTAATGAGTTTGGGTAGACTGATCCCCTGACAGTTCACACCAGTAAACTATGGGCACATGCAACTTCTCAACCATGAAGGACAAAAATCCGTTGAACAAGATCTCGCTACCGCCCTGACTAAGCGATTATCCGATGCTTAAGATTATATTCCGCATCCACAAAATTGTATTGCTGCATGTTTCTGTGACCTTTTTGGACGGGCTTTTGCATCCGTCCACAGATACTTTTGACCACTGTTAGGAGGCTGACACCCCTCAGTTTCTGTATAGTATAGCTGAACAAAAAATTCCACTGAAAAGTTCGAATAATCTTTGATTTCCAAGTGTGTGAGCCCTTACATTCAAATTAAAGCATATCTGTGGCCAGTTTTCAAACTTTCAAATCTTCGCATGATTGAGAAAGTACATAGCACGTTTACATTTTTCAGTTAACCTGATCAGGACTACTTGCCCCTTTTGTTAAGTTCGTTGGTCTCGATATATGCAGATGGACACATCACGCCTAACGGTTCTAAACCGAAAGTACAGTAATCAATAATCCTCCTCATTAAGGTAAAGTTTAATTAGTCTTCTATGTGTCACTTATTGATCGATTGCGGTGCCCTCTGGTAGGTTTTGTGCCCAACAGCGGCCGGTCACAATTAATGATAAATGTACACTATTGATTCATACAGTCGGACTGACCACCTACAGTGTCACGTACACAGGTGGGTTTTGCCGCCACACATGATGGCGGTACAGTTGGTCAAACGTAAATATCTTCCGGCAAGTAAGTTCCTTGGGTGAAATTCCTTACTTTCACAATTTGATTCGACTACCCCTAAACCCCTGTTGAATGTAAAAAAAATCGAATCCAAAAGAAAAGGCCAAGAGGGGGGAGGAATGTGGAATGACCGTTATCAGTCAGCAGAAATCTCATCAATCACTTCTTTGATATCCTCTCTTTTTCGAACAGTCTTGTTATTTTCTTTGATTCTTTCGTTGTTTCCTTGAGTTCCCTTTATGTTGTTTTACGAAATCTGGTAAGCAGATGAACGTGCTCAGTATCAGCCAAACCGGTTTCGTCAGAAATAATTTGTCCAAGAGGAGTAAAATGCCATTCGGACAATCCTGGGCGGATGACAAATACAACGAGTTACCCAATAAGCACAGTAACTTTTTGTCAATGATGAGTAGGATTCATCGTTCGAATATTCGTCCAATCAAATTCCTATAACTTCAGCTTTACGTTTCTGACTCATGGTAGAACTCAGCCGGTGCTGCCTATGAAAGTTTCAATCATTCAGTTGAAAGAGTCTGACCACTTGCCTGCATGCGTTTGGGACTGCATCTAAATCCGGAGTCTGAGTAGACCTTATGGCCCCAATGCTTAGTGTACACATCGTCGCACCGTAATATTGAGTGATTACAGCCGGGTGTCTAAAATCGAATTAAGAACGAAGCGGCTCAATAAATCAAAGCATTAATCGGCTGTTTGGTTTCCATTTTAAGTGATAAATGAAATTTCCATCTTTAAAACCACACCTCAACTAATCATCGAATCTCCAAGGAAATTCCGAGGACTGCTGTCTCATTTCTCTCTTCTTGCGTCGAACTGACTCCGCATCAGTTCTCCTGGACCAACCGGGCTTGACTTTTTCGACGAAGGAGATTGCATTCGTGCTGCCAGATGTGACCCAATCCAGTTACTTCTCCTTTGAACATAACCACCATTCATCCAAAGAACATCTTATTTTTGCATAGTGTTTGGTGCGCCACATACTAACATAGCGGCACTCGCAGTTTGACTTGAAGCACGCTTACCAGATCTTTTGAGCTTCCTTCTTCGATGCACATCTGGTTTGAGTGATCGGAAGTCGTGGAGGGTTCTCTTGGATCTTACTATTTAATCAGAAGTCTTGGGGCTACTCCGTCTTGGTTGTGCGGACCGGAAAGGGTGTAGTCCGCCGAACGGTCGATATGCCTTGGTCTGTTGCAAGGACTGGGTGGGTATCATTGAGAAGCCCCCGGTCAACCCTGAGGCCTGTCGATAAGGGACTTTTAAGCTTCACTCAACACCTGAGAAATATTCTTATTTTTGGATTGCATCGCCTTATTCCCCGACCAGATGGCTTTTAACCGTTCATCTGGCATAGCATGTCGCGCCGTCTGTCTAGGCTATTCGAGATAGACAGACCAAGCCGAGTCACCTGTTGAAAACCGAGTGTATTTTTTGTCGTCCCCATCTGATTTCTCAAATGTCTCATACAAGTGCAGAAAACGAGCAACTAACAAATAGTGAAATGTAGCCCGGAATTATGAACATTTTTTCTAGGAGATATGAACACTGCCACAGATCGTAGGAAGATTCGTACTCACCCTCAAAAATGCTTGAGTTTCGTTCGAAGAGTCCTTGGCCAGTTGCTCCAGTTCTGTGCTAGAATATCCGTATACTCTAGTTGTGTATTCCTCCCATGTAAGTGTCCCATCCTGATCTGCGTCGTAGTCGTTCAGTTTGATTTTTGCGGACTCCAAGTCTAGGTTACTTGGAACGAAAAGATGAGCGAGACAGTTAGGGCGGGAACGATCTTTTGACGATTATGTTCTCGACCACAACACCACGTAAGATCTGCCCATAGTTGCGCACATTGTATGGCCATTGAACTGACTGGCCAGATTCGACACGTGCCGAATTATTTATGTCCGTAAACTTAGCATACTCAGTATATTCTTGTAATGCGCCACTCATAAGGTTGCTGAAAACTACTCGAGAGATCCACCTGGGTTCCAGATGAGTCTCTCGGAAAACGAAATTAGTTTTCAAGTGAGTGTATTTCGCTGACTACCATACTAAGCTTTTTCATTTTCTCTGGAGAATATGATGACCCTTTCTTCATCCTCCTCCGTTTAGTTGGGTGTAAAGATTGGCGAAAATCACCTGATGGTGCGCGGACAGTAAGAGGATCCACAATAGTTTGACCACTGCTAATCGACCAAGCTAAGGAGAACCTCTTCGGTACCAAACAGCTTGCCCTGTCTAGGCTTGGGCAACCTGACAGTATTCCAGCCCTCGTGCTTCCTTCGGGTGGCATGGCAGCTAGACACCGAAAGGGCGCTACAGTTGAACGATATATTTATTTATTTTATTTAAACAGCTTGCACTTCGGATGAAAGGGTAGGGTTTTTCGGGCTAGTAAATGTGACTAATGTTCGAACACGGAGGAGTAATAAATAGGTGCAACTAACATCTCTTGGTAGTGAGTGATCAATTTATTTGGCATCGTAACACACAGTTTGGTGCAGCAGAAACAAAGGGTGTCGAAGATGTGATGCGAGGTAACTTGGAGAGAGCATTAAGCATGAAAAAAGTTGTGAGCAAACAACGGTGCGTTTGCCCAATGTTTCTACTCAAGACAGCCACTCACTTCAGAATAATGGGAAACTTAATGTGATCAAAAATAACCGACGCAATCATTTGCAGCTCTACTTATGTTTCTTCATATCCCGGAACTCGAGGAATTGGTAGAGCTTTCCTAATCCTCAATGGCTACTTTGAGGCCATAAGGCGAGCACCAAACAAACTTTGTCAGATGAATAACTCACGTGAATGACTGTACAATCCAGTCGATGAGCTCGTTTTTATCCAGGTTTCCGTTTTGATTGGCATCCATTTTTTCGAATAACTGACCCAAACGCGTCTTCGCCTCTTCCGGTTCAAGCTGCTTGAAGTATTGTGTTTGTTCAAACGAACCCAGAACAACTTCATGGTCAAGGTCGAAATCGCGCTGCCCGAACGCATTAAAATGAACCGGGCCTGATGTAGGTATTTGAGGCTCATCCGGACGAAGATGCTCGTTCATCAGTACGTCAAGGTTTTCAAACTCATCGGATTGTGATTTCTCAATCCAAACACATATACCAATGCAGATGAATAAGAGTGGGAACTGGCTAGAATACATGACGGTTCGTTAGAGGTTTGGTGCATTCCCATGATAGTGAACTTTTATAGCCCCGGAAAAATGTGCGGGTGGTGCCTTATGAGGCGTGTCAAATTTCCATTGGGACGGGCGAAATTAATGACGTGGTATTTCGCTAGTACAGGCCTTGCTTTTGGTTATTTTTTTATTTTAGGCAAAAAATACAGAAATAGAAAAAATGTCGCATGCTCCATGTGCAGTTTAAAAAAGCTTTTGTTTTAATTCTACCCATGAGAGTTCATTTTAGCCACCAATATGATAGCCAGGGCACAGCCACTGCATTCCGGGTACACAGGTACTTTGGGTCTTAAGTGGAATTCTGAAATGATTGTCTGCCATCAGTATACCGATTTGCCGACCAAGTGTCGAATCACAACGAGTGTGCAGCCGTATGTGTGGCTTCTTGGGAGCCTGCGGTACCAATGTAGGGGATGTGATCGGTGGACAAAGATGTATGAACTTGTTGCCAGTCATCAGTTGGCCTACACATGACGGCATAATGGCTGGCAGGGGCAAAAAGTGCTGAACTGTCACTTGAATATCACCAATTTCTTTATATTTGTAATGTACTACTCGTAAGGTTGCTGAAAACCATCGACAGGCCCACGACCGGTTTCGCCCTTCTTGGAGCTCATCAGGTAGGCGCAGTCCCCGAGTTTCCGTCAACCTTATGTTCTACTTGAAACCAAATTGCACGAAATTAGCGAATATACACTCATCTGCAAACTAATTTGGTTCTTTCGAGAGACTCACCTGGAACCCAGCTGAATCTCTCGTTTATGATGTTCTCAGGCAACTGAATGTGCTGCACCAGGCCGCCTCATGTTTCAGTCGCTACGATATTTGAAATATCGCGATACATGTATATCTTTGTAATGTACTACTCACAAGGTTGCTGAAAATCCATCGACAGCCCACGACCGGTTTCGNTCATAAACGATAGTTTCAGCTGGGTTCCAGGTGAGTCTCTCGAAGGAACCAAATTAGTTCGCAGATGAGTGTATATTCGCTAACCATTTTTTTTATTTTAATGCACAATTGCTCTTCTCACATTAAAATAACCTACAAAAGTCCCAAGAGGTGGCCTATCACCTTTCAGTGATACACAACGAATAAGGCTGTCAGTCCTTGTTTTGGAACCTGTGCAGATTACTCAACGTGTGTTAGGTTAGAGAGGAAGAAGGAATACGTGAAAGTGTACGAAGGAAAGCCTCAAAAGTAGCAGGTTTTCGCTTACTCACTTTGCGGTATGTAACAAGTTAGACGGCCGGGTGGATGACATCATGAGCCGCGGAGATGGGTCGACAGCATTTTGTGTTATGAAGTTCATCGTTGCATCCGAACTGGGATATTGCAGGACACTCACATCTGGACCGGGGGATCAGTACCCTAACCCAAAGCCTCTGGCTCGAAAGCTTGAGCTCCGGGAGGAGGTATGTGCTAGCACGCCGCCAGAGTAGAAAAGGTTGTTAAGAGGAATCTGTCGTGCATGTTTCAGCCCTCAGTCTCGAGGATAGGGATATTTTGTTCGTCAGACCGCTGTTCACTGACCAACCTGGTATGAGGAACTCTGTTGGTGTCAAAGTAAAAACTCACAGTATAGCTTAGTGGGCCACAGAGGTACCCAGTCCGCCGCACAACTACAAGATACGCTATCTTTGTGAGGTCCAGTCTCCACAACCTTATCCGTACCTAGAATAATTTATTGGCATTACTGGTACTCCAGTTAACCTCATTTCAGTCAGGAAAGACCAGAAGGTGTGTTCGCGTAACGTTTTGTGAATGCATTTTCTATCAGGTTCTTCTGGTCACAAATAATAGGTGACCAGTGGGTGAAACGCAATCATTCCATCATTAACCAAAACAGCCAAACTGCCGCCGGATAAACTAATCAAACGCAAATGGGCTGAAGTTTTTGAAGGCCAGAACGCTAGAATTGGATTATGGCTCACCAGCAGACACAAGGTTCAGCTTACGGAAAACAAGAAATGTGACGAATACGAGGTTGGCTGAACCCCATGAAGTTCACAGAGTTTGGTGCGTGAAAAAAATGCTTCCCGACCTATCTTGTCAACCCAGCGTTAGAAAAAAATCACATAAGCAGTCATGAGTTCGTAGTCCTTGAATGTTTCATTTCGATAAGGGGGGAGGGGGGTACGGATGTCTGATACTGTCCAATCAACATCATCACCAATAACCTAACTTTATCCATCCAGAGCAGAACACTTATCTGTTACTTATCTATTCTTATCCAACCTTATGTCTATTTTAACTTCGAAGGTCAAGGTTCGCGAGATACAATGAACTCAATTCAAAATTGTCGGCTATTATTTCTTCGTTGCATTCACGTTCTGAATGACTTTCTATCGATTTTTGCTAGCTCCCGATAACTGCATGGGTCATCTTTGGATGGAGTCACCAATGAAGGGACGTTTAACGATATCAGCAACCGCACTACCCCTAATAATTGTCGGCAAACGTGGTGGTGGTGTCAGTCGAATAGACCTACGAAGTTATGTAGGCCAGTGTGAGATGACCTGATCGAAAAAAGGTTCTCTAACAACTTACGGAATGCTTAGAAGGTGCATTAGCTGGCTAGGTTCAAGGCAAGCTAAGGGTCACATCAAGTTGCTTGTAAACACACAGCGGATGTTGTTATCAAGTTATTGCAGTGAACTCGGAAGACCTCAGAGCAGGTGAAGAAGAATGGTGGATGTTGAGATGAGATCGGCTTGAAGATCTTGGCAAAATACACACTTATAGAAGTGGAACAAAACGATGATCATTCCGATTTCATTAGCAAATCCGCTGAGAAAGAGGTGAAATTCAGCAAGAATGACCGTCGTATATAGGAATCGTCTTCTCATGGAACTTAGCCTAAGCGCTAAAGCGGACATACATTACGGTAGAACTAGACGTTCTCAACCTTACTCAGGGGTTACCACTACCGTAAATCAAAGGAACCTGACATAGTGGAACCAAATCAACTAGTTGGTACCCATTTAAGTAACTACGGATAAAGCAACGTTCGCAGATCCCGTGCGTATTTAATCAGTAGAGTGCGAATGCGCTGCTTTTCAAAATACCGGATCCTCTGCCGGGCGAAGAATATCACAAACCACCATAACTGGTCATTTTTTGTAATAAACCATCGGGTTGGTATCGCCTCAACACTGACTGAGTTTTCCGGAGATTGCTGTTTAAAGCACTCTCTGTGGACGGAAAAGCAACTTGATGTGACCACTAGGCTATCTTGAAACTGATGACGCACACGAACTTGGTTTGGACAGGAAACTCAGCTGAAACCAGCTGAATCTCTCGTTTATGATGGTCCCTTCGAATGGGCTTTCAGGGACCTTATCACAAACCACCATAACTGGTCATTTTTTGTAATAAACCATCGGGTTGGTATCGCCTCAACACTGACTGAGTTTTCCGGAGATTGCTGTTTAAAGCACTCTCTGTGGACGGAAAAGCAACTTGATGTGACCACTAGGCTATCTTGAAACTGATGACGCACACGAACTTGGTTTGGACAGGAAACTCAGCTGAAACCAGCTGAATCTCTCGTTTATGATGGTCCTCTTCGAATGGCTTTCAGGGACCTAACAAGTAGCGTCCTACGTTTCGACATTGTTACATAATCTGTTTTGTTCGGTGAAGGCCGAGATCATGGAAAGTGCATGCATCCGCCAACCTTCACCTTTCAAAATTTATTATAAGGCCCCTTACTGTTTTAGATCTAACTGAATCTAACCATAGTCACAAACCTAGGGAATTACGAGAGGTTCATTTACCATGTTCGCTTACGCAGAATTTTCAACGCTCACACCTACATGTAGGTCGCATTCACAATCGCTATCCCGACACCAGTGGCTCGATAACACCCAGACGACGGGTCGCATAAATCTGGCATTGCTGCTCGCAAACTCTGTACACGTGTGTCATTACTTGCACAGCTGATTACCGTCATCTGGTCACCCGATGGAACAGCCGACGAAAACTTTAATCGGACCATAGTAGCACCGCGATAAATTCTGAGGGTGGTGTCCGGGATGCGACTGGTTTTCTATTTTAAAACACTGGGCACCTCTGATTTACTTTATCATATCAGCCTGTAGACATCGGTGGTGAGATTTTAAAATTTCCAGTTATTTCAGTCGGTCACAAACTTGAAAAAATTTAACACCAGTAGGTGCTGAACATAGTAACAACCAATCAGATAGATTGGATTAAAATTACTGTACTGAAGGCGGATATTCGGCTTCAGTACCAGAACAGTCGAATAATCTGAATCAGTGGTCTTTCTGCTCTAGCGGTCCACATAATGTGAACTAAACCGCTGGGGTGACGTTCAGATATTGCCTTTCCAAGGATGATGCACACAGGGCGCTCCCATGAGATAGGAAAGTCTATGGGACCAAGAGCCAAAACGATAACACCAGTCGATCTGCATTAGCTCCGTGTGGTTGAATATCACTCAAGTCGCTCTGCGCAGAACTACACACGGAAGCAGTTTTACTGGGTCAAACGATAACGCATGGACTGGCACCTCGTTTATCTGTAATCACAAAAGCTTTGAATGCATCTATGGAAGCAGTGTACCTATGCTACAGAAGCGAAGACACTGAGGATACATAATTCAGCCCAGTCGAGACGAGTGAATTTGAGTGTTTTCGGTGGTTAGGAGAATCAGGCACACGGTCTAACTTGTCAATAAAAGAACATCCGCACGACACAGGCTCTTGTACTGAGGGCTGAGACGTGTGGATGGGTTATCTAACCAGGTCTGTCCACCTTCTTCTGAAGCATATGGTCGAAGATCCTGAGTACAGTGTGCGGGGACTGTTGTGTGAAAACGAGATGATATAACGTGTGTAGAAAGAGCTTACATGAATCTGCATGATTATGGGCTTTCGTTCAGCCTTTTTTTATGAGGCGGTACTCCCACACACGCACACACCAATGGAAAGTAATGCTTT